GAGGGGCTCCACGGCCGGATTGTTCCTGGTCCGGCTTCCCGGGGTTCCCCTCCGAAACACCCCTTACCGTACCCACAGACCCCGACTGCCGCGTCATCCCAGCAAAGCAACGATGTTCTTTCTGTTAAGGATTCACGGTGTTTTGGGAAAGATGCTACTCTTCCCGTGGGCTTGTGCCCCGCGTGACGTGAGATTGATTCGTTCTTGCCCGGGATAACACTGGCCCGAGCACCGCATCTGCCCCTCTCCCATCAACAGAGCCCATCCAGAGAGCAGAGAAAACGTCTGTGTCGTCTCTGCGGGACGCGACGGTCTCTGTACGGAGGGGCTGAGGACGCTGCCCTGGCCGGCCGGAGAGGCTGGTGTCACGCCAGCACTGGCGGCTCAGCACAGGGATGCTTACGGCCTTCACTTCCCCTCGGTGTTCCGCGGTTAGGTGGGCAGCTAGGAAAGTTTCAGCACGACTCTGTTTTTAAGGACTCAAATTTCCTTTCCAAAGGCTCTTTTTGGGAACACGCAGCGTGTCGCACCGGTGCTCTTCAGCCGCCGGTAGAGCAGGAGTTAAACATCCCGGTATGTCGCATTATGTAAAATCAGATCGACAAGGAGTTGAGGAGGAACTGTGTATTTTCAGTAACCAAAGGTACCCAAACCCACCCAAACCTGCAGCGCGTGGTGCTTTTCATGGCACGGAGTTGGTGTAAGAACCGAGACTGGATTCTGTACAGCCGTTGTGCGCAGACCCCGGCAAACCGGAGTCCAGCGTGACCAGGGGCGGGGGCTGGAGCCGCCACGCTGCCCTGCCCCGGGCTCTGACTCCCTTGGGAAGTGATTCCCACTGGAATCTGAAGCTGTTACTGCCGCGTTCTGGTACGCCGGCTCAAGTGCTCGAGCTTCAGAGGAAGCAGCAAACACTGTGATTCCCGAGTACGGGATCATGGCGTGGCTTTCGTGCCGGAGTGCTGCCGGGTGCCGGCTGCGAGCGCCACAGCCCGAGGCTTTGGCTCCCGTGCAGGACAGCTTGCTGTGACGTTCTGCTGCGGGTGCTGCTACGGGGCAGACGAGGTGACCGGCTCCGGGAGTGAATGGGTGGAGCCGCCTCCCCAGAAACAACCGAACGCAGAGTGAAGGAAATCGGGGTTCTGAATGTTCTGATATTTTAACGTAGCAAAACCAAATGTGAAAATTGGGCTGCAAATACCCTTTTGTTAACAAAGTGGCTAAGCACTTAGAAATGGTAAAGATTTGCCAGTTTTCGGAATCCGGCTGCTTATCAGCAGTTTTTTCTCCTGCCATGAACCCCGGAATTACCCTTCCCAGGCTCCTGCCTCCTGTTGCATGGCACCTCTTGCCCCACTGCGATGCCTGGCGCCTGCACCCACTAACGAGTTCCTCACAGGAGCTGGAAACACAACACACTTGCCAGAGGCTGCAACGGAGCGCGTGAAGGTCGGGCAGGGCTGGGCACAGCGTGGTTACCGCGGTGCTCGGCGGAGAGGGCCAGCGGTGCGGGCGCTTCCCGGCACGGCTGCGGACACGCCACCTCAGAGCCGCCCCCCGAGACCTTTAGGGGGGTTATCAAGCAGAAAAACCTTGTAAAAGCTGTTCAGTGCTTTAAGCACTGAAGTGACCCGATTCTCTAACCTTTCGCTGAGAATCACGCCACTGTTTTTCTTGCTGCAGGGTCTTGGTTTGGTGTTTTTGCAGGGGGTCCCCAACAGTCCTCAGGAACTGGCGTTCACAGGGATGAAGGAACAAGATGGCACTAGTTAGGGAAACCTTCCGAGGTTACAGCCGTCTAAAAATCCTCCAGGATTTGCCGTCGTGGTAAGAGGAACGTGGGCTGGCGGCGCACATCAGTTTCTGACAGCCTGTACTCCTACGAACCGCTCCTGTACGCGCTGCCACAGGCCGCGAAGGTTTGGCCGTTAGGGCTTAGATTGAGCTAAACCCCAGAAACTCCGGGGCTGCATTCCACCTCTGCAGGATGGAAGGGAAGGGCTCCGGAAACGTGCGGTGGCGAAGGCTGGAAGCGAGCCCCTGGCCCACCCTGAGGTCTCCAAGGTTTGTCACCAGTACCTTACCCCAGAGGACACAGCAGAGCCTGCTCTGGCTCCTCTGTGCTGGCAGCGGCCGGGCCGGGGTGGCCCCATGGCCTTTTTTCCCGCCACACCTGACACATCGGTGCCCCTGCACGGGCACGGTGGGTGCCCATGCGAGTGTCGCCCCTCAGAGCAGCGTTTGTGCCCCTTGCAGAGCATCGCACCGACGACTCAGTCTGCCGTCTCCTTCGCAGTGCCTCAGCCTACACCAGGACTGCAGCCAGAATACCGAGGCTGCTCCCTGTATCATCCTCGGGCTCCAATTCTTCGCCGTGATCCTCTGCAGAGGCGCGTGCACCTCGTGGAACGGTCCTTCTCCTCCTTCTGCGGACGTACACGGGGCGATCCTCCTCCGTCCCCTCAGGGGGGGCGTTGTTGGTGCTGGCCGCCGCGTTCAGGGCCAACTCCAAGCATCTGTAGAACCTAGAAACAAGCAGTTGAGCAGTTGTTACTTTGTAGGTTCGCTCAGATCTGCCCAGCTCCTCTGGGAAACCGAAGTAAGGCTCCTGCGATGCAGGCGCCGGTGCTAAGCACAGGAGAGCGCTGCGAACACGGGAGTGTGCTAGCCAAGGAAAATGAGAACGACCCGCAGGGGTTCCCCGTGTGTGCCCTGCACCTCTCCGAACACCTGCGTGTTACAGACCAGCCAGCAGCTGCACCCAGGTGCCACTGAGACCCCTGAGATCTTGCAGAGACTGAGACGGGATCGGGTGAAACGTGTGACAGCGGGCAGAGGGACCGCCACCGCCAGCCCTGCCTCTGAGGAGCAGCTGGTCGCGGTGCACACAGGTGGCCTCCTCATCCTCGGGCTCTTCGGCCCGTTCGGAGGCAGACGTAAAGACCCGAGGTGTGTGTAACCCCCCGCCTCCCGAAGCCCCCGGCTGCGGAACCACGCAGGCAGTCGCCGCAGCGCGGTCACGGTGGTGGGGTGACAAACGCTGGTGTCACCAGGAGCTTCGACCCTGCGCTGTAGCAGAGGCTGCCACCAAACTCTGGTGGTTCACGGGTTTCCGCCTGAGCAGATGACAGTCTTCAGAGCTCAAGAAATGAACTGAGACTGTATTTTAGACTTTGGGAGGTTGTCTGGTTCTGGTTCTTTTGGATTTTTGGGGGGTTTGTTTTGGTTTGGTGGGTTTTTTCCATATAACCTCCCTGACTGTTGGATCTGGATGTCCTGGGTGGGACTGCTGTGCTCTTACCAACCTGTCAATCCTCCTTGAGTTTTCTTCCATCTTCCCATTAGCTACATCTACCAGGAATTCAATATATTCTTCGGAGACCATCAGTTTTCCCTGGCGGCTCAGCGGGACTTCCAGGCAGTGAGTGCTCCGGACGGCCTGGAAACACACGCAGAAGGACTTACCTAGAACACAGCTTTTTATTTTCTGAAGGTTATTTAAATAATGGGGGGAGTCCCTAGGAGGAAAGGTCCTCGCTTATCCCCACAGCTGGTGGGTTTGCTGTCGGCTACCGCAGAAAGGCATTTCCCTGCTGCGCCGGCCCGGCCATCACGTTGTAACTCAGACCGTGGCTCCTGGAAGATCGAGGTTAACAGTACCAACAGGATGCTGTTACACCCCTTACAGGCAAGTAGAGAAGTCCTTACCATCACAATCTTTCCGCCTCTGCCAACCGTAATGCCGGAGTTCCTGAACCCGGATTCGATGGCTGCCGAATGCTGCGGAACAAGCAAACGCCTTAAACGGGGCTGCACGCTCCCGCCGCACGACGCAGCCGTGGCCGGGCTGCGAGGCAGTTCAGTCTCGGTTCTGCAGAAGCACTTAGCCAACCCCCCTCCCCAGACCGATGCCGTGGGTACATTAAAGCTCTCTCAAGCAACCGGGGCGGCACCACGAAGGGCGGTTGGGTCTCAAAGAGCCACGGTCGGTCTAGTCTCCCCGGCTGCTGCGGAGGGACCCCGGCCTCCCGCCCGGCACTGCGCGGTTTTATCGAAGAGCTGGTAAGCACGAACACAGTCCTGCAACACGTGGAGCGGGACGTGCAGCAGTGCCAAGGAAGCTAATCAGCCCTCTTCTGCGTTTCCCCATCAGCCGTTACTCTCCGGGGCCATTCTGGAAAAGCAGAAGGCAACGGCGCTCAATGACATGAAACCCTGGAGTCAAAGGGTCTGGCCTGTAGCAAAAGGCCATCTCAAACCCCATCACGTCCGGCCAGTGGACGCGACCCGGGCTCACCGGGAGGAGGTTTTACCGGGCAACCTGCCTCAGCTCCACCACGGCGCCGTGGTCGCGTGGTTCTGTTTCCCAAGATCTACAGCACGACCTCTGCTACGCCTCAAGCTGTGTTTTCGTCACCCGCGCACTCGCAGTGCCCTCGCTGAGACGCGCAGCGCACCCGGGGCCGTCCCTAAGTGCTCGGCCTTACTCGGCAGCCCACGCCCGACAGCCGGGAGGACGGGGGGCACCGCGGCAGCACTGCTGCTCGGTGAGGTTTTACCAGAAGCTGTGCATCCCGCAGCTCTCGGCACAGCACGTGAAGCACGAATGGTTCAAACTTGAGCACGACGTCGCCAGTGGCTCTCCCTAGGGCTGTCATCTGGGAAACACACCACAACATTTACATTAATACTGCAAGTGTGTCCTGTTACTACAAAACAGAGAAATGCGAGCTAGTCAGAGGGTCAAACACACACCGAAAATGCGGCGGGTGAGTTCCAAGCTCTCAGGTTTGTTCAGCCGCTTCTGATTTTTCCTTGCTCAATACACAGAAATTCCACGATTCCCATGATTCTGTTTGCTAAACCGGTTAGGCTTAACAGCAGTTCATAGCAAGAGGGACTTAAAACACCTTTCAAAGGGGCACTTCCCTGCTTTTTTCTTGGAGGGTGCACACGGATCGACAGCCGGTGCAGCATGGGAGGGCAGTTTCACTGCCCCCATGAAACCAGAGCACGGTCACCTTCTTACTTGTTTATTTAAAACTGCTCTTTAAAAGCAAAGACTTTTATTTTCTGAAGTACATCCCTCGACTTCAAAACCTTTCTGGGCTCAGCAGGTTACACTCATGGCCTAACATCCTTGATCACGTCACTCCTAGTTTAAATAGTAGCGCAGAGCCTACTGTGCTCGACTTGCAGAGAGAGGACAGAGGTGGAAATCAGAGGCATAAACCCACAAGACAAGGGGAAGCAAGAGGGAAGCAGCTTCACAATTACTGAATCCAAGCAACTGCCTCCAGACCCCTCAGCTCTGCTGGAAGCCCGAGAGGATAGTGGCAGTTTTTCCTAGATCCTGGAGCGTGGGGAAAGCAAAGTGGCAATCTGCACGGCTTGGCACTGCAACTGCTCTGCTCTCCTGTGCTCTCCTGGCAGGCGGCTCAAGGGCCAGAACTGCTTTTTTCCATTCAGAAAGGCTGCTTTGAGGCAGTTCTATTACTTATTTCCTTTTAAGATTATTTAATCATAAGCAGCATTCCCCCCTGCTTCTTGTTTGCTTTCACTCGCTTAATTCCCGGCACTAAGAAATTTGCTCCGTTAACTTGAGAAATTTCAGCTGTTTTCCCATCCTTTGTTGTCTTGCCCGGCCCTTCTCATCTTTCTTGTAAAATCCAAATATTCAGTAAAATCATCAGGAAGTAACCACAGCCATATGCTTTTTTAGGACACGATGGCATAAAAGAAAACTGCTGAAGTAACACTCCCCCCTTTCCTTTAAACACTGGAAAGTGTTTGAATGCATTTTTGCAGCATCTCCTCCATAAATGTTCTTATTTTAAGTTGAAATCCGGTCTTCCTGATGTGCCAGATTTAAAAAATTGCCCCGGTAACCACAGCCGTGCCACAGCTGATGAGGAACAGAGCCGCCCGCCCTCGCACGACGCGGCGTTGCAGGGCAACTCCCGCACTCGCCTCTCCGGCGTTCGCTTGGGCCTGGCAAGGGCTGGGGTGGG